GAGCTTATCGCCACGGCAGAATCCGGTCGATTGCCACATGTATAGATAGAAAATTAAAGGATGAAGGAGGAGGGATATAATAAAATGTATTATGTCATGGAAGAAACCCCACATATATACTATCCATGTCTTATGATAAAACGTGACCAATCAAAAGACATTATAGATAGAACTTTTTCGATTTATCGTCTATTGTCGGTAAATTTATAGATATACCGTTAATTATCAACAAATAATAAGACTTATTACTTTAGATCTTTGATAGTTAGTCAATTTCCACGAGTTATGCCATATATAATGGTATGATATTGGTTAGGAACCGATATAAGCTTTTGTGCAGGGGCGGACTGGGACCCAATCGGCCCACTGTTCTGCAAAAAAAAATCGGCCCCTACCGTACATAAAACCAAGATTTCAAAAAAATTTTTACCTCTTCATATTTTTTAGTTTTTAAATTTATCAATTAAATAAGTATGTTTTTATATTTGGATATTGTAATTTAAGTTTAATTTTCTTTAAAATATAATATATATATATTGTAAAATGAAAATTTTTTTTTACTGATTTTCCCAAAAATAATTTATCATAAGAGTTTTTAAATCACTGTTTAATAATATGTATTTAAACTTTGTTTATAGAAATAAAAAAAAATTACTTCTAGACAAATTAACAAATTTTATTTAACTTAACTGTTCATACTTTAAATACATCTGTAGCATCTATAATAAATAGTACAAAATATAAATGTACAATAGTAAAATAACTATTTATTAACGACTAACATTTACACATAATTTATAACAGATATTATAATATTTAAAATAAATAATATTATATGGTTACACTTTGGTTTTTACAACGATAACATCTGGTTCATCAATGATGAAGAATTTTTTAGTATATTTAGTATTTCTTTGAAGTCAATAGCATCTAATATATCTTTTTCTATTGACATAAGCATGAATGCTTCAAGATGGTCTTGATTTAATGAAGAGCGTAAACGATTTTTAATTATTTTAAGCTTACTGAATGCTCTTTCACAATTAACCTGTGTAACAGAGAGTGTTAAAACAAATTCAACTGCAGCATAAAAATTACAATATGCAGGTGAATGCATATTTAATTGGTATATTAATTTTTGTAGACATATTAAGCATGATTTTGTATTATGATTATTATTGGAAGTTTTTGATTTTTCACACCCTATAAAAAAGACAAACATATTTTTTACTAAACATATATAACTAAAATATAAAAACAGTATATATTGATATATTTTACCTTTAACTTCTAAATTCATTTCATCATTTTTATCCCAGTCTAGAAAAAATTCTTCATTATCTTGAAACATATCATCATCATCATCATTATACATTTTTGAAGTATTTGAATTCAGAGGCTTTGCAATGTTATCATATATTTTTGAGAAATGGTTCAATTCAGACACTAATTTCTGATGGTTTATTGATGATAATTTTGATAAAATTTTTAATGCTGATTCTGGTAGACTGTTATCCTTTGCATATTGAAAATTTTTTGGTAATAAATACTGAATATCTGCTATAATTTCTCTATTGCTTGAAAATCTTTGAATAAAACTGCTTCTCAATTGATCAATAGTGCATTGAAAAACTTCTACTCTAAACTTATCAATAGGATTTATAATATGTTCATCTGAACACATTTCATCATAATTGCGCTTCTTATGTCTAGAACGTATTAATGGTAATTTATCTTCCACAACTATACTATCATTCAATTCAAAATTTGTAAATTTATCATTCATATTTTGTGAGAATTTCTCTGCTTCAACGACAATTGTATCAAAATTTATTTTTCCAATTTCATCAATTGTATTTTCTACCATTAACCAACCAGCCAAAAGATCTAAATTACTGGACTGCAAATATGATGATGTTGGTCCGGCTGAATCAAAAACTTTAATAAATAAATGGGCTGTTAAAATAACTTGGAATTCACACAATTTATTTTTTAATGAAGTTGCTTCATATATGGATTTTTGATCAAATTTTTTTGACGAACAAATAAAATCTAAAGCACTGACAATAGTTGGGTATAAGCAATCTTCTCCGTCGAAAACCCATTTAAGTGCTTTTTCTCTGGACCACCACCTTGTTTCCCCGATTTTTTGTAGCTTTCTAAGTTTTTTTACTCCAACACCTAAATTTTCTTGATTTTTCTTCCAAATGTCCATTCGTTTATAAGAATCAGAAAAGAATGTACTCAAGCGATTCAAGAACCCAAATAAATTCTTGGCTGCTAAATTGTCACAGGTATCACAAATACACAAATTTAGAATATGGGCATAGCACCAAACATAAATACTGTTTTCGTTTTGTTGCTTAATAAAAGACTGCAAACCGTTAAACTCTCCTCTCATGTTAGAAGCACCGTCAAAAGATTCACCAATGACATTTTTAAAATTTATATTATGTTTGTCAAAGCAAGTTTTTAATAGTTCATATAAACTTTTACCTGCTGAATCTTCTACTTTAATGACGGCAAAAAGGCGCTCTTTAATATCTGTATTATTTAAGTAGCGAAGGCAGATAGTGGCTTGGTCCGTAGCTCCAATATCTTGAGTACTGTCAAACTAAAATAGTAAAAACAATGAATTTTTAATTAAAAATAAGAAATATGTTGATTTAAAATTGTCATACTTGTATACTAAAATGCTGATCACCCATTTCTTCACGAATATGTTTCCTCATAGTTTCTAGTATACCTTCAATTACTTTATTAACAGTAGTTTTGGATACAAGTGTAACTAATGATCCTCTTCCCTTAGAATTTTTTTGCCGTTGATCCATATTTAATTTTCGTTTTTTACTTGACAATATAGCATTGTCTAAATATTGTCTTAAAATTGCATCTCTTTCAGCAGTAAATTTCAAAAGCTCCAAAAAATTACCTCTATTGATATTAACATCATTCATCTTGTACAGCCCTTCTGTGTCACCAGTTCCACGATAAGGCAAATTTTGCTTACCCAAAAATTTTATTATTTCAAATACTTGTTTTAATACATGAATTCTTTCTTCGACTTGTTTTTTTTTCATATTCATCACATTACGGTTGATCAAATATTCAATACTATCATTACTTGAAGCTTTGACATAACTTTCAACAGCACAAATATGTACTTTGCTAATTTCATGAGATTCTACAGCTGCATAAATACTTCTGAAATTTGTACAGCCAGTAGAAAAATTGGTTGATGATGTAGAGAAAGCAATACATATACTGCAATACAAGGCTTTAACCTCATTATTTTTAACACATTGTAATGTCAACCATTTTCGCAAAATGGGTTTACCTCTCTGATCTTCTCTATTATAAAGTTTGAAAAAAGACCATGAAACATTATGCAGTACAGTTGGTTGACAAGGATGTTGTTTCATAAAATCCATTTTTTGATTAATAGAACTTTTTTTGGGAATCACAAATGAATATATTTTTTCTGCAGCAATATGTTCCTCAACCTCAGGTAACGAAAACGAACAGGATACACTACTTTGCTCGGTTTGATTTTTAGCAGTTGAATACATCTGAACAATCATAATAAATGTTTAATATTAAAATAGGTAGTAAAAACATTAACTAATTAATAATAATTTATACACAACATAATAAGTATAAGGTAGATCTTACCGAACAAGATTACAAGAATACCTATCTAGTAATATATCATTAAAAAAAGTTTACTCACCGAAGGATTGTTTTCTACAGTTTTAACTGAGCAACTTTGTTGTTTTTGTTGTGTTGAACAATCATCTAAATATTTAGAATACAAATAATATTAAAAAGTAATCACATATTTACATACCAATTATATTGAAAGAAAAATGAATCCAGTTAACCCGTTAAACATTTTAATTTACAGATTAGTAAATATAGATTATTAGATATTATTTAATCTGCAATTCAATTAAATATTATATTTAAATATTATTAATTCAATATTAAAATCTTTGATGTAATGTATAACAAACGTAATTAATGAATCAGTACCTTGAAATAAGAATCTATAGTATACTAAATTCTTTATACTTACCTACGAATACTTTGTTAGAGCGATCCAATCCAAATTCAATTTTTTTTTTGTTTTGGGTCATTGGCAACAGCTTTGAAATTGATCATTTTTTTTAAACGAAGCTTTTCAGCTCCACCTTTTAGTTTTTTTTTTCATCATTTTATGTTTTAAATTATAGCAATGCGATGTGCGAGTACACGACGCAATCAAAATTATGGGAATAAGAAATCAATTCGTATTGTGCATTCATACTATCATAGTGACAGTGTCTACTGTCTAGGCTATTATAGACTCAATACTGTAATAACTATAAACTATTTTAAGAATATGTTTTCCGGTATTCCCCAGCGGCGGTCGACCGCTGATAGCGCAGCGATTTATCATATATATATATATATAATATAATATATACATTGACTAGCGTATTACGTATACCATTTATTAAATATACATATACTATTATTTATTCGTATATTTTATCAATGGTAATACTCGGGGAATCAAAATTGTATACAAATAAACAAATTCAATTATCTGTTTCAAAAATATTTTTAATTCAATACACGTTGGGTTATTTCGCACCGGCCCGATGAATATAATATGACACCGGCCCACTGTGCAAATGCACAGTAGCACAGTGGCCCAGTCCGCCCCTGCTTTTGTGTAAATATACGATAATAGTATAAAAATATACCTTTTATATATATATATTATAAATGAGAATGCATTATTACACCTTATGTGATTTCCTTTTTTATTTATTGTTTAAAAACTCAGCACGACATTTCTAACATAACATGCATATAGTATAATATATTTATATATAAAAAATATATAAAATATTATTAAAATCGTTGTTATCAAAACTATGCTCTTGTTATAACATTTTAAACAATATATGGATGGAAAATAAATTGTATACACATAAATCTATTCTCCTAACATTTTTATGGTTATAAAAGTGATATGTTTAACTATTGTGTGTGTGATTTTTTTTTTTGTACACCCTTATGAAATATATTATAACAATACATATTTTTATAACTAAGACTAATGCTTATAATATGTATATTCCTCACAGATGTTTCAATTATATGTACGAAATAACCGTTGATAAAGCTTTTCTCAATAATAAACAAGTACTGCAACAAATTGTACATTAATAGTTTGATATCACCACGACTGTTATCGTGGAAGTTTCACTTCTATGATCTGTGCTTGCATAGAATTGTTTTTTTTTTTTTTACATATTTGGATAGAGTATTTTTTTCTAAACAATTTATGTATAAAGTTTTTTTTAATTACAAAATTTGCATATGAAATTTATCGATGAACTTCAATATTTACATTACTTACATTTAATATTTAGTGTGTACAATTTTATAGTTTTCAAATTAGCTATCTTATTTCAGAATAACGAATGAGAAAAATGACAGTAAATTACGATAGAAAAGTGTTTATTTATATTTTATCTGTGTGTAAACAGGTATTTCCTAACTGGATACTAATAAGTAACAATAAGTTGAATTTAGTTTAAATTTCATCAAAATCAAATTACTCATAAATATTAAAATTCATCATATAGAGTATGTAAGTTGTCAATAAATGAATTTCCCCACTACCGACGCCTTCCCACTAATGACCCATCCGTTTTTAATCCTACTCTTAAAATATCCTGTTGCACTTGTATTTTATTATTATTTGTTCGACAGTGAACCTTACATGTCACCGTAGTTGTCGTCGCTCGCTCATGCTCCGGAGACTACGGTAGGATACAATACTGCAAGGTATTTATTATTATTATTAACCATTATGTCCCTAATGTCTAATGTAATTGTTATGATCTCATTTGTTTCATGATTTGACTGTTATTAAAAAAAAAAAATGTTATTCTACCTATTGTTATACTTATGTTAACCATGCTGTTTTTTTTATTATGATTATTACTTATGATATGTTCCCCATAATTTTGTTAACTTATGGTATGACAGAGCCACCATATCTAGCTCAAACGGTCGATTCATTGTTCAGCTTGCTTCAACTTCCACTACTTTCACTCTCAGCTGTTCACCATCGTTCCAGGCGTTCTTCTGGATAACCAGCAACCTGTTAATTCACAAAGTATAGGTTGTCAATGATGTAGACTGCAGAAATCCCTTCCGCCGTTGCAATGATCTGCATGGGGGGGGGATTGTTCAGGCTTTTCTGCCATTTAAAATTGCCCGCCCTCTACAACTGGATGCGAAACTGATTAACCAACCACCTCTACTTGCGAGGTTGGTCACACTAGCTATCGCGTCAGCGTCCATTACCGGAAGCGGCACGCGGACACCGTTCGCTCTCATGCTCGTCATCTTCCTGACTGTACACACTTGTTACGTACTGCACGAATATTCATGAAAACCGTCATCTTGATGACCATATGGTCAATGCGACCCAGCTTTACGCCCGCTCCGATTACAACCCTAAGTTTGCCCCGACTACAAGAATTGCTCACTTGTTCCGCTCTACGTCTGCTCCGACCACAAGTATTGCTCACTTGACCCTACGTCCGCTCCGACATCGTTGAACCTGATCAAGCACGAGGACCACTCCAGCAGCTGCGATCGACTCTGTCCTCGAGTTAAACTCGAATCCGGTAGACGGAGTGTGCGCGAGTCGACGCCAACTACTTGTTAAAAACGTTATTCCCCAACAATAGTTGACCTTCGCCAAAATAATGATACTCGGCCTGTTATCTATTTAGATAAAACGTTGGTTAACCAGAATCACACAAAAGGGTACATTTGGCAAAATTAATTTAATTCAGAAGGGCATAAAGTACCTACAGGAAAAGGTAGTAGATCAATTACTTTCCACGCAGGATCTAGTTTATTTGGATTTATACCTGTGTTATGAGCTACCATTTATGACATAACCATGTATAAATAGAAATTGTACGTAACAACTTTATATGAATTGTGTAAGACAGCAGGTTGTTATATTTAGAACAAAGTCGTAGGTCAATCTATATTATATATTAAATAAGTCCTATAACGTCAATCGAGCAATAAAAAAGAGGAAACGAAATGACCAAAATTCAGATGAGTTCTAGTCACGGAGCTGCAAACAACTTCATGTCACTCTATGTTAAAATTTGTTAAATACTGAATATTAAAATAAATGTATAAAAGTTAAAGTCTCATATTTTATTAATTAAATTTAAATACATCATCGACTGCATTACTTGGAATCAAGCCGGTGGAACGTAACAATTGGCGCTGTGGACAGGTTTCTTCAAAAAGAAAATATTTATATTATTTTTTCATAAAAATATATAATATTTTTCCACGGAGGCAGTTCAATTCATTCGAATCACCGTGAAAAGAAACTGATCACTTTTTCTCCAACTTCGAAGAAAAAATATACACTCCATTGTGCAACATTTCAAGTCAAACAGTCAACGATGTCTTTTGGATCGTCTAACTCCGCCTTGTTGTAAGAATTATTATGAATATTATTATTGAAGTATTTTATTGAGATTTATTATTGAAGTTTATGCACTTACACAGCTTATACAACTATTTACTGATTCAAAAAGTGCAAATGAAGGTGCAACTGCTGAGAAGATATTTGATGAACTTCTTAAAGCTTTTAACGAATCAGAAATTCCATTGGATAACATAATTGGTAAGTTAAAAATGAAAATATTTTTTATATAATTCAATACACTTGTACGACTGAAAATTACAATTTTTATCAATTTAAATATATTGAAATAGATATTTTATAATTTTAAAAATAAATATATATCTAACTTATTTAACGATTATTTGTTTTATATAGGATTTGCATCTGATGGTTGTAACTGTTATGGGCTACCACATATTCTTAGAACCATGTATAAATAGAATTGTGCATAACACAATATTACACACCTATCTATTTTTAACTCAAGTTCTATTAAGTAAGTCATTATATTAATATAAATACTTATATATGTAATACTTACCTAATGTGAGACTGGAATATTAAAATAGTTTTTTTTTCAGGAAATATATTCATGTAAAGTCTCTACAATAAAGAAAAGAAATTGCTAATGAAATTAAATTCAAACTTATTTCACTAAAAATTGATGCTATTACTCGTTTGAATAAAGGGTTCTTGGGAATAAATATACAAAAAAATATAGAAAATAATTGTATTCAACTTAGAACGCTTGGACTCATTGAATTAATTGAAACTCACACAGGTGATTATTAAATATAAAAATACATATTCATACTTTGTAATTTTTTTAAAACAAATAGAGTTAAAAAAAGATGGAACATGTTCTACCATTGATTTGAAAAACCAACATATCAATTCAAGGCCAACGAATGATATAGTAAATCTTCCTAATGAAGTTGAAAGGTACCTCATGAGTCAAGGTAATAATGATGATAAATCTTCATCTAATTTAGTAAATTCAGCAAATACTCAAAATATAGAAACAAAAATTGAATTACTATTAAAATCATTTCACATTGAAGAAAAAAGATTGAATCGGTAAAAACATCAAGGTTCCAGGTTGTAAAACTTGTGAACGAAGCGTTGGATGTCGTGACTGTGGATAGTTGAAAATGGAGCTTAAGTCATTGTGAAGAATTACAAGATGAAGATTTTATAATGGAAGGTTTATGTGATGAAATTTTGGAGCCAGTATAACCATTATAATGACCATTCGTCCTGACGAAGATTCCGACAAAAGATAAAGATAACATCAATTTCTAAAAAAAAAAAAATTGTAATTAATTAAATGTTGTATTATTATTATGTATATACTTTTAATGTTATATTAGTTAATTGTATTTATCACATGATAGTGATAATGTCTGTTATGCATTGGAAATTTGATAAAATTACCGAAAGTTTATTTTTGATCGAGTTATCATTAGATAATTGTTGTGCATTTTGAATAAACTTTGCATCGTTTGGGTCAAATGCAAGGGCATATTTGAGGTGGGTGAAGAGGGAATTTTCCCTAATGTAATATATAAATAATTAAGAATATAAATTACCAG